ACACTCATAGTCCTTTAACAAGTCCAAAACAAACTTCCTTTGAGAAATGATAATGCCATTTGGTTCATAGAGAATCTCCAGCCCCAAGAAGTAGTGTAGCTGTCCTAAATCCTTGATTCTGAACTTATCATGCAAGAAGGCCTTAAGCTGATCAATATCTTCAGAATCAGTCCATGTGAGTAACACATCATCTACATACACTGCTACAAAGACAATGGAGGAATTCTGTTTTCTGTAGAACAAGGAGTAGTCATGCATGGAGTGTGTATACCCTCTAGAATTTAACACCTCAGTTAGCTTATCATACCACTGCCTACTGGCCTGTTTTAACCCATAAAGAGACTTATTCAGCTTACACACTAACTGTGGGGAAGATACTTCAAGGCCTGGAGGAGTCTGCATATAGACCTCCTCATGCAAATCTCCATGGAGAAATGCATTATTCACATCCATTTGTGAAATTTGCCATTTCTTCTTTGCTGCTATGGCAATGAGAGACCTCACAGTGGTCATCTTGACCACTGGGGAAAAGGTTTCTGTATAATCTACACCAGCTTGTTGAGTGTATCCTTTAACAACTAACCTTGCTTTGTATCTTTCTACACTACCATCTGCCCTATGTTTAACTTTATACACCCATCTACACCCAATGGCATGTTTTCCTTCAGGTAAAGGAACCAGATCCCATGTCTTATTAGCATACAGAGCCTCAAACTCATGTGTCATGGCATTCTGCCAGGCAGGATATACAACAACTTCTTCATATGAAGTTGGTTCTCTATCATTGCAAATATTCTCTACAATGTGCTGACTATCAGGATGTAGGGCATCAGAAATGATGTGGTTGTTATGGGAGAACATGGCATGCAAGGAAAAATTAGTGGTGCATTTTAGGTTTGGTATTTTGTAAACATAATCATTCAGATGTGAGGGTAGTTTGTGTTCCCTGTTGGATCTTCTAAAGCCTAGTTGTTCTATTAGTGACTGTTGGGATGAGACCACATTTTGTAATTGTTCTACTGGAATTTGGTGTTCATGTACAGAGGGTACAGGTGAGGAAGCAGCAGGTGGTGTACTAGAGCTTGGAGAATTGGTGTTTTCCTGATTATTGGCATTGTCACTAATGTTGTGAGACAAGTGGATGTCAGTGTGATCGGGAGGACTCTCAAAGAATGGTGTATTAGGAAAGACAGATGGAATATCAGATGTAGTGGAGTTAAGAGTGAAGGGGAAGATTGACTCATGGAATGAGACATCTCTAGAAATGTGTATTTTCTTAGTGGCCAGACTTAATACTTTGTACCCCTTTGTACCAAAAGGATACCCTACAAATACATGTGGACTGGTTCTTGGTTCAAGTTTATCTCTGAAGGGCTTTGTACAGTAGGGTAGCACAGGCACCCAAAACTTCTCAAGTGAGAGTAATTTGGTTTCTTTTTATATAGAAGCTCAAAAAGACACTTATTCTTTAGGGGAATGGTTGGAAGCCTGTTGACCAAGTATGTTGCTGTAAGAATACACTCTTCCCAATATTTCAATGGCAATTTGGATTGAAAAAGTAGTGCTCTGGCTACTTCAAGTAGATATTTGTGTTTCCTTTCCACCACCCCATTTTGTTGTGGTGTATAGGGACAAGTCTTTTGGTGGTTAATTCCTTTGAATTGAAAGAAAGAGGTTGCTTCATTGCTGGTGAACTCTAAACCATTATCAGATCTTATACATTTGACAGTTGTTTTGAACTGATTTTCTACCATGGTTGTAAAAGCCTTTATTATTTGTAGGACATTTCTTTTGCAGCTCAGGAGATGTGTCCAAGTGGACCTACTGTAGTCATCGCCAAAGTTAGAAAGTATTTGAAATTGTTGTGTGTGGTTATATGATAGGGTCCCCATAGATCTACATGAAGTACTTCAAATATTGCAGTGGTTTCAGTTGTTCTTTGGGGAAAAGAATGTCTGGATTGTCTGGCCATGGGACAGATATTACATCTGAAAGGTTGTTTAGTAGAAAAAGTTGCAGGTATAGTAGGAATCCCTCCCATTTTACTAAAGGGTACATGACCAAGTCTGAAGTGCCACAATACATCTAGATTAGTAATAGGAAATGAATCAGAAAACACAGCAGAATCACTGTCTTTATTCTTGCTGTTGTAGATGGAACTATTTACAATTGGAAGTGAATTGAAGAGTGGATAGACAGTGCGCATCCTTTACATCATTAGTGTGAATGGAAAGACAAGAAGGATCACAGTTTTGTTTAAGACTACCTTTCTTCAGGCACTTGGAGCAAAGAAAATACAAACCATCCAGCAACTTACCAATCTCTAGAGGCCTCTTCAGTGAAGGGGCCTGCAGTAGACAGGAAGTGTCTGAGAATGATGCAATACATTTTAAATGAACTGCTAAGGAACTGATAGACACTAGGTTAAATTTGAACTATGGAATGAATAGAACTTTGTACAGGATAATTTCAGGTGTTAGGGATACACTTCCAACCTCACTTACTTTGACTTTGTAACCATTTGGAAGTTTGACCAATAGAGGATAAGGTAGGCTTACTATGTTTTGCAAGTGAGATTTATTAAAAGTCATATGGTGTGATGCCCCGGAGTCTAATATCCATAAGTCAGCTTTTGCACTAAAATATTTGCAAGATAGATTGTTAAAATCAATTGAAAAAGTGCAAGCAATCATACCTGCAAAGCTCATTGATGCTCCACTAATCATGTTTGCACTAGCTGAACCTTCTCCAATGCTTCTTGTTTGAAAATGTTGCAACAAGCTAACAATTTGTCCATACTGTTCTTTTATAAGACTGACATTCTGACTTTGACTCTCTCCTTGAAGCTCCAGTTTCTCCCCTTCCTCTACATTTGTGACTGCATTTGCCATGGCATTTCTTCCCTTATTGAACCTTGTATTGTTATTGTACCCTTGTACACCTTGCCTATACTGTTTTTGTGGTCCTTGATTGAAACTTTGAGGATAACCGTGGAGCTTGTAGCACTTATCCTTAGTATGGCCTTGTCGTTTACAATAGTCACAAAAAGGTCGAGCTCTATTGTTTGCAGCTTGGTTTCCAGCTCCAGTAGAGTAGTTTGTCTTGAAATTCTTTCCTCCTAGGTTCGCATTTAGAGGGTGTTTGGATGGGCTTAAAAGCTGGTTTGACCAGCTTTTAAGCAATTTTTTTAATTTTTGGAGTGTTTGGGGGAAAAAAAAAGCTGCTTAAAAAAAGCTAAAAAGTGCTTAAAAAAGCCAAAAGCAACAAGTTGGCTGACCCCAACTTTTTCAATTTTGGTTTAAAAGCCATTTTGGTTTGACCAAAAAAATTACTCTCTTGTCCCTTATAAGTTTATATAATACCAAAATTACCCTCAGTCAAAGAAACCCTAAAACATTGTATTTCTCCTATTTTCTTCACTTTGAAGACTATCGTTGCCTCCTTTCATCTTCATCTCTGCTTCATTTTTCTGCGCTTTTCTTCAAGCAATTCAGTGGAAATCAATTATCGTTGTAAGTTCTTCTCGATCCTTATTGTATATTTTTGTTTGAATTCATTTGGAAAATTTTATTGAGTTTTGACTATTCAAATGCAAGAACTTCAGATCTACTAGTGTTCTTCCGAAAGTTTTCATTACTTATGATAATTCCTTCGGGGTTATTTAGAAACTGAAGTACAACATTGGGTTTTCAAAGCTAGAAGAATATTTAGATGTGCCTTTGTTGCACTTATGTTTCATATACCGTCGCTACTTAAATGCAATTGCTCATGAACAATGGAGTTAGCTTTTTTCCCTTGCATGAATTTTTGCTGCTTACAATTTTTTTTCAACATTTGTTCCTTCACGAGAAAGAAAAGGAAAAGGGGTTAAAAATAGCATTTTCCTTAATTCTGACAGAAGAAGACAAATCACTGTAGTAGATCCAGACCATTTAACCAATCAGCCAGTGATAAACTCCTAATTTCTCTCTGTTCTCTCTTTGCTAATGATATGCAAGGTCCTTGGTTTTATCAAAGTTGAATCTTTTTATAAAAATGAAGAAAAATGTAGTTTAGGAGTGCTGGAGCTAAGTGCTTGATAGCCCGTTAACACCTCTGCCAAGTTGTTCATATAAGCATGTCGTCAAGCACTAATATTCTTAACCAAATCATCACTACCTCGTTTTTCTTTGTTACTGCTGGTATTGTTAATACCATATATTGGACGTAAAGGTTATCCGACTCAAAATATTCTTGTTGTCGTAGATTTTAATATGTGTTTTACATTTGCATGGGCTGGGTGGGAAGGAGCAGCGCACGATAGTCGTATATCTGGTGAAGCCCTTCGTAGACCGCAACTTAACTTTCCACGTCCAATTGGAAATAAGTATTATCTAGTTGATGCAGGATATCCTTACATGAAGGGATATATGGCTCCATACAAAGGAGATAATGTGAGATATCACCTAGCACAATTCCGCCGCGGTGCAACAAGACAATTGTGAGAAGGGCGAATTGAAAAATTTAACTATTTGCATTCTTCTTGTAGAAATATTGTAGAGCGCACATTTGGGGTTTGGAAAGCAAGATGGTCTATTTTTGCGAGACATGCCTTTCTATCACATTGACACTCAAAGAGACATCGTACTTGCTACTATGGCCATTCATAACTATATTAGAAAAAAATGCAATATGGATGATGCATTCCGAGCAGCTGAGAATGAGAGATATGTTCCATTTGTTGATCCTGATGTTGGTACATCTTTGAGAGCTAATAACAATATAAATGCAAAAAATGTGGAAGAGCAAAGTGATCTTGTTTGGATGGGTCTTCGCGATTTGATTGCTAATGAAATTTGTGAAGCTTGATACTTGTAGTTGTATGAATCTTTTAAAACACTAATATTTATTATTTTACATTCCAACTGAGAAATATTATTTTGTTTCGTTCTCTTGAAATATGCATATAATAACCTAACTTTTTATATAATTTGAGAAATCAGTGTATAACTTCAATTTGATTAGCTTGATATATAAAACGGCTTTTTAAGTTTGTGATTGACTTCTGTCGCAGCACTTTCTGAGCCAAGGGAAGAAAAAAAGGTAATTGATCAATTAGATTCTCATACAGATATATACAAAGCAAAAACTATTCTTTTTATTTTCTTGGCAAACAAATAAAAAAACTATCTTAAGTAATTATTTAAATTAAAATATAAATTATTTTTTGTTTGCATATCTTATGAATCAAATATATTGTATTAATCAGCTCCTTTTATAATGTTAACAGCTTTAAGGATATTTCTGTCTTTTTAACAGAAAAAAGTTCTTACCATCACTTGTTTACCAAACACTTCAACAGCTTTTTTTAAGCTTCAGCACTTTTATCCAAACAAGTAACTGCTTATTTATAAAACAAGTTTCAGCACTTAAAAGCTGCTTTTAAGCACAAGTGCTTAAAAGCTACTTTTTTCCAGCCAATCCAAACGGGCTCTTAGTGCTGTGGAATCGACATTCAGCTGGTTCCTGGGCCTAAATTCTTTTTGTTTCTCTTCCTGTATTAGGAGGGCAAATGCCTGTGCCATGTTTGGCAAGGGATTCATCATAAGTATGCTTCCTCGAACAACCGTATACACTTCATTGAGCCCCATTAGGAACTGTATGAGCCTCCTATCCTGTTCTGCCTTATGCATGTTCTCCTTCGCCCCACAAGTGCATATACAACTGCAATGAGCTTTGACACTGAGAGTGTTCAATTCCTCCCAGAGTTTCTTCATTTTCGTGTAGTAACCGGTGATATCAAGCACACCCTGACTCAAATCGTTGATTTCCTTCTGAATTTGGTACAACTTAGCCCCATTCGTCTGATCATATCGATCCTGCAGCTCCTTCCACAGCTCAACGGAATCGTTTACATACTCAACACTGTCAGTTATGTCCTTTGACAAGGAATTTAAGATCCACGAGGTGACCATATCATCGCACCTTTCCCATTGACGAAAGAGTGGAGAATTCGCAACCGGTTTCTCAGTATCTCTAGTAATGAAACCTAACTTGTTCTTCACTATAAGGGCACTGAGCACGCTCCTCCTCCAGGAACGATATCCAACCCCATCAAAAGGTACTGGAACAAGACTGGATCCCGGGTTATCGGAAGGATGTATGTAAAGGGGACTCCCAGCATCGATTGTGGTCTGTGTCGTCGCTGCTGCTGTGGTTGTGGTCGCTCCATCAGTTTGATTTGTAACTGTCATGGAGATTTTATGAGAGATTTGTGAATAATAGTTGGAATATTCTTCGTACAGCTGAGATTTCTTCAGTCCGCTGACGGATCGTCACTGCATGTGTCCGATTCAAAATTTCCCCAAATTGTGATTATCGAATGAAGTTAAACGAAACCCTAGATCACTTTAATGACTAAAAACAGTAGAAAGAGATGAGGCGTGGTCGTTGATCGGACCTCCACTCTGATACCATGTCGAGATTAAGAGTGAAGAAAGCTCTGAATTACCTCCAATGGAGGTTGCAGAAGCTTCTCGAAGAGAGAGGAAAGAAGGAGTTGTTAAAGTCGGTTAAGTTGGAATTATGAACATTAACCAACCAAAAATATCTGACATTGTTCACTATACATACAACTAACCTATTGTAATACTAACCACTAATCACTAACTAAAGGTAGTGCTGACTCAACACTAGTACAAGAATAAATACTATACAATACTGCTATACAATACTAATTCATTACTATATTCTCAATATCCTTTACATGATGCTCTTACTTCACTCCATTCACACCCTCCTATATGCATTTTTCGTCTAAGATTTTTAGCACTGAATTTATTGTATTTGTAATATTTTAAGTTTGAAACTTAGTATTTGTTGAAATTTTCATTGTTTCGTATAAAATGATATTGAGTTTCATTAAACCTACACAACATCTTAACCCATAACCTATACGCTACATCCGACAGTGATGGTTTATAAGCTTTGTAATTGCAATTAATTACATACAAGGAGTCCTAATTATTAAGACTCCTCTTCTTGGTTCCACTACATCCTTTGGGCGGAAAAAAGGATTAGTGAAGGTTCATTAGTTGTGACATGCTGTTTTGATTTCTTGTTGTTTGTCATTAATTCATAATGTAACTAATAAAATAAATATCAATTACATGTATAGTTTCTTTCTTAAAATCCATATTTCAAGTTGACAATTTCATACTGTATTATACTCTTACAAGTCACCATGCAAAATGGAAAGAGCTTAAATTGAAAAGGAAATCTCATTTGAAATTCTAAAATTCTTCAAGATAACATTAATATAACTATCTGAAAACGAAATGAAGCAAGCTGTCGAGATGGCCGAGTTGGTCTAAGGCGCCAGATTAAGGTTCTGGTCCGAAAGGGCGTGGGTTCAAATCCCACTCTCGACATTACTTTTATTTTTAGTTGGACCTGCTTTTTTCCTTTTTAAATTGGACCTGAGTAGCTATGCTGTTCATTCGGATCGGATATCCAAAATCCGAACCGATCCATTCAATATCGAATTTCGGATTTCGAATCGGATTCAGATTGGTATATTTTAATCCGATCTGATCCGAAATTATTACGCAATGTATAAATACTACACTTTAATTTCGGATGGTCAGTACTTCATTTACATCTTCCTCCAAGTTATTACCTTTTACAATTGCTAGATTTAGCTATATTGGCACCATAGTACTCTCATAATTGCATAGACATGGATTTTTCTTAATGCATTGCCTCTTTTACAAAGAAAATATACATATTAGTTTGAAACTTTGAGGCATAATTATACGATCCGAAATTCGATCCGATCCAAACTTTAAAATTCGATCCGATCCGATATAATTCGGATCGGATTCGGATTGCATTTTCTAAAATCCGAAATCCGAATTCCGAATCCGAAACGTGCTAAATCCGACCCGATCCGATCCGTGCACAGCTCTAAGCTATACTACAATAGAAACCTATTTACCACCTTTATTTAGGTTTTTAATTAATTACTTTGTATATCTATATTTACAAGTTATATACAAAATCATAAAAAAGAAAAAAATTCAAGCTCCCTTAATTTTAGCATGTCAGTTACACAACAGCCACCCCCATTTCTAATACCCCCCCCCCCCTACATTTAAGATTTTGTTTATTTTCGAAAGGATGTCAAAAATAGTTTCTCTCTTTCTTAATAATCACCCAAAATCGGAATATTGCTCTAGAATCAAGTTGTAGGTAAGTTTTGAATCTTGTTTTCTTTCTTTATAAAATCTTTATCGTATGTGACTTGTATATGATACATCAATACCCAAAATAATACTTGATACAGTACTAATAAAATTATATTAGATTTTAGTGTAGAGTTGTGATTGAAACTTGAAGAAGATAAAGATCATAATTGTATCGCAATTTTTCAGAAATGTATCACGATTGTATTATAATTGTATATGTATCATAATTGTTGAAGTAATTGTATTACAAATGTATGATAATTGTATATTCATTGTATATTATTACGAGTAGTTGTGAGTTCATGACGAATTTCACAGTTTGTATCACAAATATATGATAATTGTTTATTAAATTATTAGTATTGTATCAGGTTTATTTTGGGTAATGTACCATATATAAGTTAGATACAATTGTGATACAAATATGATACAATTATATTTCAAGCGTTGTTGTACTTGATACGATTCAAATACAATTATGATACAATTCCCGAGTATTTCTTCATTTTCAGTGTTGTCCAGTCTCCCAATAAAAGAACAATGCAATTGACGATTTTTTAATAATATATAGTTACCGGCAATCGTGGGAAGAGAGAACATGGAGATTCTGGGAGTAGATTAAGGGATTTTGATGTAAAAAAAGAGGGAGAGAGAAGAGGAGAGGGGAAAAAAAAAGGAAAGGATATAATTGAATCACTTAATTGAAGGCACTAATAATGGGGTGAGAGCCTTTTAAGGAGCAATGTATACAATTTGTAAGAAAAACCTAGATACATATTAAAAACTACAAAACATAAAAAACATAAGTAAATAAATTTATAATATAGTATAGCTAGGTAAAAATTTCCTTTTTCACTTTCATTATCACAAATTTTAAAGAAGGGCCCAATACCACTAGCTTTTTAAAATAATTTCCTAGTTTATGCGTTATCATATCAGCTTTGATCATTAAAATCAACGTAATTGTTGAAATAAAAGAAAGAAAATTGATTGAAAATAAATAAAGAAATAATGTTTTCATCTTTTTATTCTACAAAAGATCAAACTTATCGAACCATGTATACTGAGCTCCTCATGTGGTTGTTTTAATTTTTTTTGCGGAAGCAACTTTTGAGTTGTTCAATAATTTGTTTTATTTCAGATACTAAGATTTTAAAAGAAGATAGCATGATAATTCATAGGATAAAATCATTAAGGAGACTCCTAGAAATATCATGCTAAATATAATAGCAAATTTACCATAATAAAAGGTTGTTGTTTAATTTCATTATCTAATCCACTATCCACCCATAAAAATGAGAAAAAATGAGTCCATTTACTTAAAATTCGTTGCGAACATTTAGCTATCAACCCATTCTCTTTATTGCATCAAACCCCCCATTATTTTCACGTTTAAAGGATAAGTGACACGACTGATGAGAGGATGATAAGGAAATAACAGTATTTTAAGTATTAAGTGTTGAACTAAAACTAGTTCAACTTATGTACATTATATTAATAATAATAATAGCTAAAAACACAAATGATGACTAAAATTTTAAATTTCGCATTAAAGTTTGGCATTTGAATAATTAAATCAACTTGAATTCTTAAAATGTAAGAAAATTGTAGAGATGATAATATTAATGAAATACTTCAAATGTTCTGAAATTATATAAACGAATATGTTTATTTAGAAAATAAGATTAGTAAGGTAAGATTTGATTTCCTTACTTCTACTAATCTTACAGAATTTATAAAATAATCGACTAAACATCCAAGTTTGGAAACAAAAATATTTGACTCCTAAACCATAACAGTGTCAGACGGCCAATATAAGTATATAACAATAAAAGTGGAAAAATACGATACTTTTTGGGATGATCTTAAACTTTTGCTCCCGTTTGAATTATGGGCAGTACTTCAAGGTCAAAATTTAAAGTGTTACTCATAGGACAAGTGATGAGGGACAATGCATATTAAACTTAATTTTTTATTCAAGGGACAAGGATAAAAATTTACCACTTACTTAGCAGGTCATTTATGTACTTTACATTATTCTTCTATTATTACTCAGAGGTTTCAAGTTAGAATCTATTAGGTGTTCACTATTAATGAACTTGCTCATATTTGGACCAAATTAGTGACGAATGTGTTTGATATGCTAAGGGATCGTTTGGTTATCGAGATAGACAATGACATTTTATAGAATTAGTTATCTCACTTTCTATAGGGAATAGCTAGTTTTATCTTTTTGGTATAAAATTTATTCTACTACTAGTTCATACTTAATACCCATAATCAAATATATTATAAATATAATTTTATATTTTATTCTAGGATTAATATCCTTATCCAATAACCAAACGACTTTACAAGCTACTTTCTCCGTCACAGATTATTTGTCGTGTTTCTCTTTTACACGTCGCTTAAGAAAATATTAAATAGGAGTGGTTTTTGACTGTTATGTCTTAAGATATAATTTTTTTTTATTTAATATTCATTCACAATTGAGGTATTTGTAGTTTTTAAGAATAATTAATAGTAAGGGTAAAATAAGAAAAAAATAATTAAATTAGCTTTAAATATCTAAAATGACAAATAATTTGAGACAAATAATTTTAGAAAGCACCACGAATAATTTGTGACAGACGGAGTAACAAGGAATTATATTAGGGGAAAAGAGGTGTGTACATCGAACCTTCCTAATTGCAGTCGAGCTAAGCAACAACTATTCCCGATATACTTAACCCTTTTTCTCTCTCTACCTCTCCAAGAAAATGAGATTACTTTTTCTATACAATTTTTAGATAATCCTTTCTCCAGTTTCTCTCTCTAGATTTATATACACCACTCCCTTTATATGTACAAAACCTAGTTGTTGATTTATCCCCCTTTTCGTTGTTTGATCAGTAAACTGAAAAACCCTAGTTTTTTTCGATCCGTGAAATATGGCATCTGGATCATCAGGTAAACCAAGTAATTCATCGGGCTCAAAGGGTTTTGATTTTGGGTCCGATGATATTCTC